TCCTGTCCAGATAAGGCCCTCAGCCGGACTGTGGGTCGTGGGCCCAAGGCCTGCCCAGGCAACTGCAGCTGCCGGGGAGAAGAGGCCCCGTGCGCGGCTCCCTGGCTGGCCGCTGACACGGGCGCCGGCTCACAGGTACAGAGCTACGCAGTGTGGGTCCTGGCATTTTCACTGAGGGCGTCTGGCAGCCCTGAGCCTGTGTTCTTGGGAAACACACACACCACGCTGACGTGGGAGCTGCACCCTGAGCTGCTTTTACAAATGTTACCCCATTCTCCAGCGGTGGCCTGGAGAGCGACGCCTTGTCTTTTGTGCTCAGTAGCAGTCACTAGCTTCTTCGTGCTGTACTTACATTTCTCGTCATGTCAGCTTCGTGTCGTAGCCTAATCTTTCTGCAGAGTGTGGTTTGTCTGTGCCCTGGAGTTCTGAATGGCCCGGCAGGGCCCCAGGGATGGTGACATACTGTGGAAAACACGAACCTGTATGCCACGCTGCTCTGACATGCTGAGGGCCCGTGCTGGGAATCCCCCCCGTGAACTGGGGCACCCGCGGGGAGCCTGGACGTCACGTCCTGTGGGGCTGAAGTGCCCAGGGCATCTGAGGGGCGTGTCCTTCGCGTCCCCTGCAGACGTCTGTGAGTTGCCCTCTAGTCCACGCCTGCACTTCCCCAGGGTCTTGTTGAAAAGGCGCCTCTGGTTTATTACGTGTGCTTGCTTTGCTAAAGAATCTCAACCTGGCCCCTCGAAGACGGCCAGGTAGTGTCCTGGCAGGGGCAGGACGGGCTGGCTCTTCTGAAAGAGCGGCAGGCCCTTACTCGGCGGAGCCTTGGGAAAGGGGCTGCACTGGGCCCGCTCATGCCGCCCGCCTTCCTGGGCCTTCTGTGCCTCTGCCCACGGAGCACCGCGCCACGCCGCCGTCCAGACCGTGGATGGCACAGCCCCAGCTGTTCCATCGCTCCGTCTTGCCCGGCAGCATCGGGCTCCACCTGCGAGGGTGCCCTGCAGGCAGAGACACAGCCTCATGTGTCTTCAGCATTCCGCCTGGGAGAATAACGGCCTCGAGGCTTCTCGTCCACCTGGAGTGCTCCTCCAGCCCCAGCCTTTCTGGTTCTGTGGGCGTGGGCCCTGGAGGTCACGAGGGGAGACTTCAAGGTCGCCCCAGAGCCTGTGGGGAGACGGAGGGCAGGCTGCGTTGGGAGCGGCGGAAACAACGAGCAGGCCGGCCATCTGTTTCAGGGGACTCGGCCGGAGTCGGAGTGTCCTAAGCACGGCGGCCTGGCTCGCCCTTGTTTCCGGCAGAGCCTTCTGGGGCTCAGGACAGGCACCCGCGTGGAGCACACTCTCCATTCGGTCCCCGACCACCCGGTTCAAAGCCAAGTGTTTCTACTTTAGAAACTTCGAAGGCAGAATGTGTTTAGCGTCTTCTAGGAAGGTCTGTTGAGGACAAAGCCGCACACGCCTGAGGGGACCCAGGTTCACCTGCTGCCGCTACCTGCCTCGTGCTGATTATTTATGCATGACATTACGTGGATCACACGTGGCGCACGTACATAGCTCCTGTCCTGTGTGGGTTTTTCCAACAGTTGCCCTGGATTAACTGAATAAACCAGTAATACCACCCAGAGCCCTTTCTGTTCTTGGTGGGATGCGGTGGGCAGAGGGGCCAGGCTACAGCCTCTGGGTCTTCCCTTACGCCTGCCCCCACCCGCCCGCCACGTCGGCTGCACCACCGGCCTCATCCTGGCACGAGCCCTTCCCCCAGGGCCCTCCTGTGGCCGGTCATGGGCCAGTGTCCTCACAGACTCCCGTGAGGGGTGGGTGGGGCAGCTCAAGTGGGGAGGCAGGGTGCCCACGCCCAGACGTATCGTGTGGGGCTCCCTCGCCGGACCCCGAGATGGCGGTGCTCTGGGTGGCCAGTGCCCCTGCCTGCCCCGCTCTCCCAGCCAAGACCCTCTTTCCGGAAACACAGGCAGGGCAGCCTTGGGGGGGGGCTGAGCACCGATGGTAGGGTGGGCCTGAAGGTCTCCCCACGCCGTCCCAGACGGGAGCCACTAAAGCTCCGGTCCCTCCGGACATCCTCCAACCCCAGGCCCCTGTGGCTCCAGGGCCAGAGCCCAGGCCGTCCAGCCAGGCCACGGGAAGCTGTAGATCCCGCCCTTGAGCTGGTGGCACCGAGGAGCGCCCAGTCTGTTTCGCAGACTGTTCTAAGAAAGAAGCTGGGGCATTTATTGTGCCTTTTAACTTTCTGGCCCTTCATACCGGAGGCGCGGAGGAATCAGGGTGCAGAGCAAACGGCGCCACTCTGGAGAGTCTGGGGCGGTGTCCAGGTTCTGCCAGTGCAGAGGGGCCAGGCTGCCCTGTGGGCTGGGAGGGGCCGGAGGGAGCTCCGGGCCCGCAAAGCCACCGGCCCAAGCAAGACAGAGCCCAACAGGGAGGCTGCGATTTCCCAAAGGAAAACCTGCCCACCCGGTGAAGAACGGGGCATAAGTCGTTTTTGGCTCCGCAGACTGTTTCTGCAGTGAGCCCAGCCAACCTGCGTGGCAGGACTCACTTAACGCCCAGCAGACCCACTGACAGGACTCTGGTTTGGGGTGGGGAGCCAGCACTGAGCCCCGTGACTCCTTGCTGGGCCCACTGAGAGCCAGCTAACTCCTCTTTCCAGCCCATCAGGGGCAGGACGCAGGGCAGGCGGACTCAGCAACATCTAGGCAGGAATAACCCCAGAGGATGCTCCTTGGATGCAGCCCGGCCCCCGCCCTTGCCCTCGAGTGAGGACAGGCCGGAGCCTCGCCACGGTCCCCCGAACAGGCAAGCAGCAGTTTCCTGACCGTCTCTCCGAGGCGGAGGCTCTGTCCGCCAGGCTACCCCATGACCCCTCTGGGGCGGGGCGCCACAGGAAGCTGCCCTCGAGCAGACGCTTCAACAGGAGGGTGTCCCCACAGGCTTGTGCCTTCTCTGAGACAGCGAGGGCACAACATGCATCTGGGGCTTGAAAAAGTGTGCTGCAGGGTACGTGAACAGCCACTCCAGACACCGGGCGGCAGTCTGTCACCCCACAGGCAGTGGCTGCTGGGGCCAGCCCTTCAGACACGTGCAGGGCGGAACCCCAGCAGGGTGGCGGGAGACAGGCGCGCGGGGCCTGATGGTCCTCATGCTGCAGCTTCGAGGACAGACTCCGCTCTGGGGGTCACCACCCTGTCGGGCATGGACTGCTTCCTCGAGTGTGTTCTGTGGGGTTGCTGAAAGGGCCGATCGGCTCGCGTCTGGCCAGCACGGGGGGCTACTGGAGAGAACGGGTTTTGCTCCATGGTTCCCCGAGCCTCGCCAGGTCTCTCCCCGCCAGGTCTCAGGGTGCAGCGTCCCCCAGAGCCCTCGGCTGGCAGATCGCCTCCTGCGCTCCGCCCTGGGGCAGCCCAGCCCGTCGGGCAGAGACCCCTCATGGGTCCTTCTAGAGTGGACCTCCAGGCCGGCCTCGCCCCCCGCCCCCGGCAGCCGGGCCTCTCTGGCCACCAGAAACCCGAGCGGCCTCCCCACAGGGCCTTCGCAGGGTTCTTCAGATTCCCTGGGAGCTCAGTAGCTGGGAAACTGCTTCGCAGACGGGCTCCCCTCCAACAGCTCTCGGACGGTTCCCGGAGTGACCCGAGAGAGCAGAACCAACCACGAGCCTTTCTTAGCTGTGACGAGGCCCTGTCCCCCCGAGCTGGGCTCCTGGCCCGTGGCGGTGAGCCATGTGTGCTGTCTCGTGAGTGGCAGGACAGTGGGCCGCCCCTTGGCCTCCACGGCCTGCTCCTGACCTGGCCACAGGTGTAAGCACCCCACGCAGTGCCGGCACCACAGAGGAACCGCGTGGTGTCCTGGGAGGCGAGAAGCTTCTGTTCCTACTTGCTAACTGCGGTCTGGGGGGCCCTCACCCCAGGGGGTCAAGCAGGACTCAAGCAGGCCCGACTTAGAAGCTGTCACCAATGCTGAGGTCTGAACTTCAGATTTTCTACCAATTCCATTCTCCACTCCAACACACATAAGGGACTGGACAGTAGGACCTCATTGGGAGATGGGTAAAGGAGAACAGTTTTCAACGTTCCCAGTATTTTTGAAGCTCCAATTCTCTCACTTCCCTCAAGCTGAGACAAAAAACCAAAACAAAGTGGCCACAGTGCAGGCGGAAGGGGACTGAACCAAGGTGCAGACCCACCAAAACCAGCTCCTGCATGGGGCTCAAATGTCTTCTCTTTAAAAAAATCCTGGCTGGGCTCAGTGGCTCAGCCTGTAATCCCAGCACTTTGGGAGGCCCGTGGGTTCGAGACCAGCCGGACAACTTGGAGAGACCTTGTATCTACAATAAAATAAAAAATAGCCAGGCAAGGATCGCTGGAGCCCAGTAGGTCGATGCCGGGGTGGCCCTGAGCGTGCATGCCACTGCACTCCAGCCTGGGCGAAGGAGTGACTCCAACTCAAAAACAAAACAAAACAAAAAAAACCTAATGAGCTGGGGCCAGGCGTGGTGGCTCATGCCTGCAGTTATCAGCACTCTGGGAGGCCAAGACGGGACTGTTTGAGCCCACCCTGGGCACCACAGTGAGACCTTGTCTCTACAAAAAAATTTAAAAAGTAGCTGGGTGTGGTGGCGTGTGCCTGTAGTCCCAGCTACTTGAGAGGCTGGCTGAGTTGGGAGGATCGCTTGGGCCCAGGAAGTTAAGGCTGCAGTGGGCCATGACCTTGCCACTGTACTTCAGCCTGGGTGGCAGAGAAAGACTCTGACTCAAAAAAAAAAAAAGCGGGGCATGGTGGTGCATGCCTGTAGTTCCAGCTACTTAGAAGGCTGAGGTGAAAAGATCACCTGAGCCCAGCAGGTCGAGGCTGTGGTGGCCGTGAGTGTGCCACTGCACTCCAGCCTGGGTGACAAAGTGAGACTCCGACTCAAAAACAGAAAAAAGAAACCTAATGAGCTGGGAAAAGACCCTGCCCTGGGATCCCACTTTGGCTCCATGAACGGTCGACCCCGGAGCCAGCACCTTCCACCAGTCCCAGAATGGGCTCTGTCCCAGAAGCAGCTCACACAGGCCTTCCTTGGAAGGAGAGGGCGATCTGCAGGAGTTCGCGGCCCAGTTCCTGCTGCCGCCCTCCGGGACAGAACTCCGCCGACAGCTCCCGGAAGGTGGCACACACGCGGCGGCCCTCGATGTGCTCGCGGTGGACGGCGTGCTTCCACTGGTGGCGCGCGGCCCCCGAGAGCACCAGCAGGGAGCGGCGGGGCACGGAGACGGCCACCTCCACCTCCTGGCACAGCACGGACCTGCTGGGGGCGATCACGCTGCCCGCCAAGGCCTCCGGGGCGGCCTCCGGGGCGGAGCAGAGCAGCAGGCTGCCCGGCACCTCGCGGCACATGGACAGCACGGTGGGGGACAGGAGGCTGAGGCTCACCAGCCGCTCCCCCCACAGCCAGGCGTCGTCCAGGTGGGGGTCGATGGCGGAGCCCCGCTCGGGGCAGTAGTCCAGGTTGCACTGCTCGACGGGCCGGAAGCCCTCCAGCCCGGGGTACAGGCCCATCCTCCGCACCACCTCGCGGCTGAAGCTGGGGAGGCCTCGGAAGCCCGCGGTCTTCAGTTTCTGCTTCCGAAAGTTGACCTTGGGGCCGTAGTCCTGAAGCACGAAGACAAAAGGTGAGGTTCTGAGTTTGCAGAAGAGTCGATCACAGCCTAAGTCCAAAGAATTCAACCACAGTGACCGCGACACAGCAAAAGCCCTGATGCCACAGATCGGACCTTCCAGCAGGAGGAAGCAGGTATCAAGGAGACCAAAATAAAGCCGGGCTCGGTGACTCAGCCTGTAATCCCGCACCTTGGGAGGCTGAGGTGAGTGGATTGCCTGAGCCCGCGGGTTCGAGACTCGCCTGGGCAACCTGGCGAGACCTCATCTCTACAATAAATCAAAAATTAGCCGGGCGTGGTAGCACGCGCCTGTAGTTCCAGCTACTTGGAAGGCTGAGGCAGGAGGATCGCCAGAGCCCAGCAGGTCGAGGCTGCGGTGCCTGGGAACAGCTACTGCACTCCAGTTTGGGCGACAGAGTGAGACTCCAACTCAAAAAATAAAATAAAATAAAGAAATAAAAATAAGCACAGATATCAGATGGCAGTACAAGGAAAAGTTAAAGCAGGGAAGGAGGGTGTGCCAAGTGGGGGTGTCTTAGCAGGCACCCCAGAAAGCAGAGCTAGCCAAAAAGACCCACGTGCAGGTAGTTTATTCTGGAACATGATGATCTCAAGGAGTGAGGCTCTGGGACGTGCAGAGGGAAGCCAATCCGAGGCAGCGTCATCAAGTGGTCAACACCAAGGTCAAGTGCGACCCAAAGCCTTGAGAGAGAACACAGAGCTACCACAGGACACAGCAATTCCACTCCTAGGAATCCCCAGAGAACCAAAAACCTGTATCTACACAAAAGCTCGTACACCAGTGTTCATGGCAGCATTATTCACAGCAGCCAAGAAGTGGAAACAACCCCCATGTCCATCAACAGATGAGCAGAGACATGCAATGGACACACGTCCAGCGGGCTATTAGCCACAAAAGGAATGAAGTGCTGACAAGTGGATGTTTTAACATGGATGAACCTGGAAAACGCTGTGCTCAGTGAGAGCAGCCAGGCACCAAGGTCACATATTGTGTGATTCTGTTTATACGAAATATCCAGAACTGGCAAACCCAAAGACACACAGCAGATCAGGGGTTGCCAGGGGAGGGGAAATGGGAAGTGGCTGCTAATGGGTACGGGGTCTCCTCAGGGTCATGAAAATCTTTGGGAACGAGATAGGGCTTGATGGGTGCACAACACTGGAAACATACTAAAGCCAAACCACTGAGTTTACCATAAATGGGCAAATTTTATGGCATGTGCATTGCACCTAAAAACAAAACAAAGAAAACTGGGAGGAGCCTTATAGACCACGCCTCAGGACTGGCTGGAGGGACTAAGAACAGAGCACTCATCTACTGGCTCCCACCCCTCGGACCCCCTTTAGGCCCCTCTAGTCAAAGGGCTCCACCGGGTGTCACCAGCTTCATCCTTCCAGGCTCCACCTGCCTCAGAGCTCTTGGGTAAGTCAACTCCTGCAGGCACCCAGGCAGCAGCAGGCAGAGGAAGGGGAGCTGGAGGGTTTAAGAATGACGAGGTAAGGATGGGCGTGGTGGCTCACACCTGTAATCCCAGCACTTTGGGAGGCTGAGGTGAGAGGACTGCCTGAGGCCATGGGTTCGAGACCAGCCCGGGCAACTCGGTGAGACCTCATCTCTACCATAAGTTAAAAAGTTAGCCTGGCGTGGTGGCGGCGCCTGTAGTTCCAGCTACTTGGAAGGTTGAGGTGGAAGGATCAAGATCAACTGAGCCCAGCAGGTCGAGGCTGCATGCCAGCCTGGGCAACAGAGTGAGACTCCAACTCAAAAAACAAAAAAATGATGAGGTGGCCATGAGACTGGCAGGAAGGAAGTTTGGGCGGGTGGCCCGACTGTGCCGGGCCTTCTGGGTCCTCAAGACTCTGTCGAGATGGAAGGCCGTGGAGCACTGGTGCCTGAGAAGGGACGTGATGTGACCTAGACACTGCTCTCCTCTACATTGAAAACTGGCGGGTCGGGTGCTGCAGGAAGCTCCTGCAGGGTCCTGGCAGAAACGGGGAGCTCGGGTCTTGGTGGTGGCAATGCTGGGGTAGATTCATGACGGTTCCTTTTCTTTCTTTTTTTAACTGAAACGTAACTAGAGACAGGGGTCTCACTACGGGAACCAGGCTAGTCTCGAGCTCCTGGACTCAAGCCACCCTCCCTCCTCAGCTTCCCAAAATGCTGGGATGACAGGTGCGCACCAGGAAAAGCTGACAAGAATTACTGACAACGGCCCGGAAGTGCAGCATGAGTGGCATGGAGAAGCCCAGAAAGATGCCCCAGTTTCAGGGATGGGGACACCGTGGCGAGGGGCCTCAGTTTAGGGTCTGACAGACATGAGAAGCCTGGGCTGGAGACCTAAGTGTGAGGTCCTCAAACACAGACTGTCATCAGAGCCGCGACTCGCTGGGATCCCAAGGGAGCGATGCACAAGCACAAAGAAAAGAGGCCCAGGACACAGCCTCCAACCTTCGGAGGCCAGGGAGGAGGAGTCAGCCTGAGACCGAGCAAGAGGTCTGAGGGAAGATCTCCCAGGTCCTGCGCCCTGGCGGTCATGCGAGGACAGGAAGGAGCTGGCACTGCACACAAGACCAAGCCTGAGGCCCAGCCGTCGGGTCTAGATCACGGAGCCCAGGGAAAAAAGTGGCTTTTGAGCGGGCTATGAGGGAATGGGAGGGCAGGAACCGAAGCTGGGGAATAAACACGGCTTTTGAGGAATTCTGCTGCAGGACCAAAGAGCTGACGCTTGCTGGAGCACGGAAGGACACGGCCAGTAGAGGCGAGACTGGTCTTGCAGGGGAGGGAGGGCCGTGATCAGAGAGCAGCGTCTTCGGTGCAGGAGAGACAGGGCCTGGGACAGGCCCATTTGTCCCGGAGAGGAGGGCACAGGTACACCTGGCAGGTGGGGCCGTGGCTGTGCTTCTGCCTTCCCAGAGAGGAAGTCTGTGAGGGGACGAAAAGGCTGGGAGGGCAGAGCAGTGGGTGGATGGCTTGGGGGGGTCCCTGTGATGCAAAGCAGAAGGGGCCCAGTCAAACGGCGGGATGGCATGAGGGCTGCCACCCAGCCCAAAGAGTACAGGAAGGGCGAGGAAGCCCCCACGGAGTGACCATGCCCACGGGCCACATCTGGAGGCTGGGGAGGGCCTGGGATAACAGGAAGTGAAGAAGAGGTGGGGGAGCCCTCAAGACAGGCGGGGAAGGAGTGAGCTGGGCAGAGAGCAGGGGAGTGAGGCGGGACGCCCACATGTCGGTGGGAAAGTATACAAGAAGCCAGCACACAGATGGCAGGAGACCAGGAGGTGGCAGTGCCGGCAGCCTCTGGCGGCCAGGGGGTCTGGGTGTCTGTCTAGAACTCGCCCATGTCACCACCACCACGCAGCTGCGGAGAGTGGCATACAGCCCAGCAGCGTGTCCTACTGGGAGGCTGTGCACACCAGGTGCTTCTGTCCTACCCAGCACCTCCCGCAGTGACCCTGGCCACCAGCCCACAGGTCGGAAACGCCCCCTCCCAACTCGGGGGGGCTTGCGGAGTGCAGCTGCAAGAGAGGCCCCAGCAGCAGCCTGTGCCCGGCCTACCTGCTTCCTCCGTCCAGACTGGGAGAGCTTCCAGGGGTCACGGTCCATGAGCCGCACCATCTCGGCTTCCTCCTCCCGCGTCACAAAGTCCTCGATCAGCATCACTCCCGGGAAAGGGAAGGCCCAGCCCTCAAAGTCAGATTCCTCGGCGCCCACAGCCCAGCCAGTGTCTGGGCAGTAGACGAACTGGTGTGTCTTCTGCAAGAGAAACATGCAGCCATGGCCACTGCCCCCTTGGGAGCAGACCCTTCCTGGGACAGCTGTCTCCGGGTGGATTTCTGATGGCTCGTCCCCTCCCCTAAGGCCACCTAGGAAGGCGGCTGGCGTCCAGGGGGAGGTCAGGCAGGACCTTTGCCCCAGGCTGCCCTCTGGAGAGCTCCTTCTCACTTTTTCTCCCTCTATAAAAGGGAGGAAAAAGGCCCAACCCTTTTTCACTCACCATTTTACAAGGGAGGCTCGGGAAAGTCAAGGAACTGGCCCGAGGCTGCACAGCCAGGGAGCAGTCAGCCTTCCTGCATTGTTTCTATGTCCCTCAGGAGGACAGAAGGGAAGGTCCCGTATGAAAGCATCCCGCCCAGGCCAGGGGTCTGAGGAATCTGCTAACCCTAAAGCTGGGGACCCAGGCTGTCCAGGGGGTGAGCAGCAGCACTGGGAGCCTGGAGGGAAGGCATCCCTCCAGCCAGATGCGCCCTCTCTGTGGCCCTGCCCATCTCCTCGTCCCCACATCACACCCTCATATGCTCCTAACACTGAGACAGCAGCTGTCTCCAGGGCTCGAACTGCCCCAACTGCCCTCCTGAAACTGTCCCCACGGGGGTGACAATAATTGTGTGCCGGGTTCTAGACGGAAATCTAGTCACCATTCAGCATGAATCCGGCTGCCCGGTGACCTACTTCCTCTTGCTGAAATTCCAGCCACCAGTTTGAAGCCCCCCAACAGAGGGCCGGGATCAGCATAAGAATACAGCTTCCCTCCCACTGTGGGAGCTTTTCAGTCCTCTCAATAAATCCTGCTTTCTCAGAAAAAAAAAAAAGAATACAGCTTCCTCCCCTCCCAGGCCTGTGACAGCACCCTGCATTCTTCTACCAATTCATGAGTTTTACACTTGAAAGCCTTAAAAGTCCTTGAAAGTCCTTAAAAACCCTAGCCCCAAACTCTCGAGGTTTGAGGTTCTGTCCCATCTCCTCATTCAGTGACACTAAGACAAACCTCTTTCTCTGTTGAAACCCGGTGTCTCTGCATATGGACTTGCTGTGTGCCTCCGGGCAGCAGACCTATTACGGCGGCACTTCCCTGCCCAGCATCTGTGCACCCCAATCTCTTTAGGTCTCGGCGGACTCCACCCCAGTTTCCCAGGGGCTGGCCATGCCTACCCCAGTCCGAGTGTCGCCCGGAAGCCGGTCCTCGCTCCGCCCTCCGGACCACACTGAGCGTTCGGCTGAACTCCTCGACCTCCTGGCCTCCCTCCTCATCCTCACTCCTGGCCTTCTCAGGCCTGGCGCCCCCGCCCATTCCACGCACCCTAGGCTGTGCCCACACCGCCGCCCCTACAAGTCCCCCTCTGCTCTGCCACCGTCCCTGAGGCTTAGCAGTACTCTCAGGTCTTCCTCATTCTAAAGAAAGTCAAAAAACCACTCCTGACCTTGTCTCTTTCCAAGCCACAGCCCCTCCTGTGGGTGAATGTGAGGCCCAATCAGGCCAGCAGCAATTGGGTAAATTGGGTAAACTGAGGAAGAAAATGAGATTTTGCAGATGTTACCAAAAAACTTACTGCTAACAGCAAACAGCTATAAAAGCTGGTTAGCAGGCCAGGCGCGGTGGCTCAAGCCTGTAATCCCAGCACTTTGGGGGGACCAAGGCGAGGGAATTGCCTGAGCCCACAGGTTTGAGACCAGCCTGGGCAACTTGGCAAGACCTCATCTCTACAATAAATCAAAAAATTAGCCAGGTGTGGCAGCGCATGCCTGTAGTTCCCCCAACTTGGAAGGCTGAGGCGGATGCCTGGGTGACAGAGTGAGACTCCAACTCAAAACAAAACAAGACAAAAAGCTGGTTAGCCAGCTGTAAACAAAAAACAGTTAACCATTTGTTGCTAGTTAACTATTGCTGTTAATTAAGCTCATCTTAAACAAAGCACCACAATCAACCCTTCACAAACCTCTGGATATTTCCTTTTGCAGACGCCCTGCAAAGGCAACTTCTGGACACGAAACCCTGATGCCGCTTGTATAGAAACACCCCCTAGCCCTGCCTCTTTGCAGACAGCAGACACTCTGTCTGGCCCCGATCCCTTCACAAGGTATCGTCCCTTTAATAAATCTACCTTTCTTAATGTATAACCACTTTGGTAAATTCTTTTCCCCAACCTGCGACTCTGGCCATTCAGAGCCTGCCACCGCCTCCCGTCCTGTCACCCCTGTCCTGTACCTGTAGCTTTTACTCCCAGCAACGCTCCTGGGACCCCCACCCTCTCTCAGCTGTCTCTCTGTCTTCTGTGCAGCCACCTCAACCCCAAGTCACGAGTCACACGAGTCCTACTACCTCTTGTATCTCTTCCTTGGCTTCATATACACTCTCCATTTCTTGCTCACTCTGTTCAAGAGAGTGAGCTAATGAAATAGCCAGCGTTTACATCCACGGCACTAAACATCTTATACGGATTATCTAGTTTCAGCCCCAGGACAACCCCATGTCTGGCCACCCACTGAGGACTTTGGAGGCCACAGAACTCTGCCCTGGCCTCTGCGATCATCCTAGGCTCTCACTTCTTCTCTCCCAACCTAGGCTCCCACTGCAGCCCCTCCAGCTTTGTCAAGAAAGCTCTGGAGACCACACTCCCTCCTAAATCCTCACCTTCGGCCTCTGACTCCAGCTCAGACACCATCTCCTTTGTCTCCTAAGCCTCTCACATGGGCCATGTGAGAACTAGGGCGTCATGGGGACATCTCTCTCTCCTTGTCCCACAGCCATCTGGTAGGGAAGGTGCCACTTCCACGGTATAATGTGTCTCCACGCAAATGGCCATTGGCGCCATTCAGACCTTCTGCAACTTTTACAAAACATGTTTATATGTTTATAAGTTTGTTCTCATTGCTGTGTAACCATCACCATCCATCTCCAGAACTTTTTTTTTTTTGGGTTGGGGTCTCACTCTGTCACCCCGACTGGAGTGCAGTGGCATGCTCCCAGCCACTGCAGCCTCGACCTGCTGGGCTCCGGCGATCCTTCCGCCTCAGCCCTCCAAGTAGCCAGCACTATAGGCGTGCGCTACCATGCCTGGCTAAGTTTTGATTTATTGTAGAGATGAGGTCTTCCAAGTTGCCCGGGCGGGTCTCGAACCCATGGGCTCAGGCAATTCACTCACCTCGGCCTTCCAAAGCGCTGGGATTATAGGCTGAGCCACCAAGCCTGGCCCAGAACTTTTTCATTTGGCAAAACTGAAACTCTATCCCCCTTAAACAACAACCCCCTTCATCTCCCCTTCCCCAGCCCTGGGCAACAATCCTCTCTACCTTCTGTCGCTATAACTGTGACTATTCTAGGTACTTCATATAATCATATAATACCTGTCATTTGTGGTTTCTTTCTTTCACTTAGCATCATGTCCCCAAGGTTTATCCATGTTGTAGCATGTATCAGAATGTGCTGGGTTTTTATTTTTATTTTTTTTGAGTCGGAGTCTCACTCAGTCGCCCAGACTGGAGTG